ACATTAAAAAATAATTATTCATATTCCTTGAAAAAAGTAAATGTGTAAATTTTCACAGCTGCGTGCAAAACTTCCGTTCAAATAAAGAAGCGTTTTTATAAGACATAAATGCTATGAAAATTTTTATATCAAATCTCTAAAGAGATATAAGTGGTGAGATTTTATTATTAAAATTTAACATCATTTTTAAATGCTCTGGCGTTTTTTATGGCCGAGGCCGTGATAGATACCTCAATCATGTTCACGGCATTTATATATTTTGATGTGTTGCATACACCGAGAAATGCCGTAGCCTAGAAAATGTTGTACGCTTATAGAAGAAAATTCCGCTTTTTATAGCGAAAGCTATTTCAATTTGGATTTGGGCAGCGTGTTTAGAATGGAATTGTGAAAGAGGAATTTATGGTTTATGAAGAAAAAACTGATTTTAATACCCTACACTACTTGCCGCGCAAACGTATATTAAATTTCTACGTATGCATGGAACAGAATCAGCAGAAGTGGAAACAGATCTAGCGTATATTAGACCGATCAATCCCGAATTACTTTTCGAACCGATCTAAGCTTATTTGCTCGTCTGTCCGTCTTGCACTTGGTTTCTTGTTTGGACGAAAGTTAGTACGCCCCTATGCTATTATAGCCCAAACACGAATACTATTGATAGTGGCTCGGATCGCATCATTTTTTCGAACACTTGTCATATAACACTTGAAAACGTCTGCATTAAGCCAAGCAGTGTAGGATATTTAATGATGAGCCATTCTATCATCACTATAGTGTTTTTAAATCTTTCCAATTAATTTCACAATTAATTGCACAAAACAAGTCGTTCGAATTGAAGCCGAAACGAATTTAATAAATACGAGATCAATACGAGTTAAGATACGATTCTTTATACGATAGATCTTTTGCCTTTAATATATTTACGATTACTTCGTTGAAGCACTTTAGTAGCAATTTATGCTTTTCTTAATTCATTATCAAAGGTTTCGTTTCATTTATTCAAAATGCAAAACTTTTAAGCGCTATGCCTCCACTTCCAGGTGACGAATTTTGATTACATCGCTTTTACTTTTTCTTACATTTCTTTTTGCATTTACACGCCACTCCCAATAATGTAATTGTAACTTGTCACTCATAGGCGTCATGCGAAGAAGATTTACTATCACTCCGCTTTACATTTGTTCTCATTAATAGGACATAATTATATGTTAGCATTTTTTTTTTGGCAATGAATTTCTTAAGTCTACTCCTTATACGTGTAGTTTTAGAACAGAAGGCTTGAAGTCTAGTTTTGCTAGAATCTGATCTAATCCTATGTGATTATAAAAGCAAAATATTAAAAGAATATTGGAATTCATACAATGTATATAGTATATGATGCACATATAGCAAAAAAAAAAGTTAATAAATAAAAGCGTAGGGTTTTCAAAAAAAAACATAGAATTTACAAAAATGTTGCCACGCCTAAGTGACAATTTAATATGAATATTTCCTTGGGATTTAATCTTTTCAATTCGAACAATTTAAACATATTCCCTTCAGTTGAATTTTACTTAGCAAAACTTAGATGAAAAAATAAGTAAAGTAAGACTTTATAAACGGGCAAGGACAACTTTAAAATGACCAAGACTAATTCGCCTAAAATAATACTTTGCTCGTTTTCGGATCATAAAATACCAAACATCATATCTCGTTACTATGTAGATGTTTACTTTTTCTTTCTTTTTTTTCTATATATGACCAATCACTTAGGAGATGTCCCGGTATTCCTACGGAACGCGAGAAAGCGAGGAAAGAGAAATCGGTAGGCAGGTCAATATAATCAATAAAAATGGGAAAACTAAATTTTGTGTTTTCTTTTTTTTTTTGTGAAGCACTTCTCAATCTTCTTTCTTATTTTCTTCGTAAGATGCTGCGTTAATAAGTAAATGCTTGCTTTTCATAGGAACTGTGGTACGAATGTGCCCAAGACTTGAAAAAGCATTTGTCGGCATAAAATAGTCAAAATTAAAATTTGTTACTTTTTACGAGGTCGTTATATGGAAGCGGCAAAGTACCATAGCAAATTTATATGCCAACTTGCCACTCGGAACTAATTACTAACATAAAATTATAAATGTGTTACATACATCTGCACGGACCTAGTTTACCCTATATCAATAAAAGGGGTTATATATAAAAAGGGAATCTCTGGATGATAACCTTGATTCCCTATCCGTTTGTTAAAGGAATTGACGAAAGTAGCTCACGTTATAACTTATCATTTTATTTTAAACGTTTTCGTATTTATATTCGTGGTATAATTCGCTTATACCATTCATGTTTTATCACAATATTTTTCTTCTTAGTTGGCCGCTTCAATGCTTAGCGGACTTGTATCGCTTGCCCTTTCTACGGTCGAGTCTAGTTAATCGTCCAGTTTACTTATTCAATTTCTTTGAATAAGTACCTTCAGCTTTATGATCTTACAGATCGACTAATAATAAGCAGTCTTTTTGATGGCTGTCTTTCCCAACCGGTTCGACATCCCATTCGAAAGCCACTGCTCGTATTTTTCATGTGCTTAAACTAAACCCTAGGAATGCATAGCCTTAACATAAAATGCATTAAATTTCGACTTCTGTGGTCTTCTGATTTTCAGAAACAAAATTTGTAATATTTTACTCTTTTATTATTTTCTTGGATAGTCTTTTCAGATGCGCATTATTTGAATGGAAGCGATATGGGTAACTCCAAGATAAGTTATCAGCAACGGGAATTCACTGTATTTGAATAAAAACTGTAATATTGTATGTCTTTGTGTTTGTGTATGTGTGTGTGTGTGTTTGCGTTTTTGTATTACAATGTTGGATATCAAAAGCTTTGGTCGAAACCATATATAACCGCATTCTTATTGTGTTTAGGTTGTGTGCGGTTCGGTTCTTATTGCTGTTGTTGCTATTTATCTATTTCTTTTTTTATTTTTTTTTTCCTCCCAATATTTACATGCGAATAATATCCATGTAAATCAATATTTACTAACATTGGCCCAAAAACGGTCATTTATTGCAGCTTTTATACGTAAACAATCGATGCATGTATATGTGGGTCTACTGCTGTTGCTTATTGTTATTGTATATATTTTTACATTTTCACCTTATTTATCTACTATTTATTTTTTTTTTATTTTTTTTTTTTTAACATCATGTTAAAACGTCTTGCATAGAAATATAATAATAATATAATATAGAAACCGAGAAAGAAATAAACTGAAATCAAAAACCTTCTATTTTATACGTTGTATGGCGTATGTAGGTTAAATATTTATTTGCCTTAGCAGCCATAAAATTCACATACTGCTAAAGAACCGTAATAGACACCTAAGGTAGATACGAATATGTAAGTATTTGCTTACACACGTTTTAAACAATGAAAACCTTTATAATTTCATGTTACAATAACAATAACAATAACACTAACAACAATACAAATAATAATACTAATAAGAACAACAATAATAATAGCAATAATAAAAATAGTACTGTTAACTAAAATAAGATGAAAAAAAACACCGATATTATTTCTTTGTTATACTTCAACTTAAGCTAAATATAAAACTAAAATAGACAACAAACAGAAGCATTTGACTCAGAGATGCTTTTAAATATAAATGTAAACGACGTGAGTGAGACACAAATCGAAAGAAATTGCCTAAAAGAAAGAAAAAAAAAGAAGAAAAAAATATTTAAAAAAAACTTTTTTGTCACTATTTTCTTTCGATTGTCGTTGATGTTGTCATCACTCTTGAATCATTTTTGAGCATTTTTATATGTCTTTGTATTCCACCACGAACACACTTAAATTTCTCATATGCAATTCTTCGCAAGTTTGCCTTGCCAGTGGGGATATGCTCAGTTAGTTAAATGATTGCCAACCCGCACAAGGTTAGCAGCATTCAGTTATCAATATTGGTCAAACTGCTAATCTCCGAACTCGATCAAGTTACTTGGTAATGCAACTATCTGCAATGTTCCTTAACTTACGTTACGTAAGTTAATTCTTTAATTAAATTTGAGGTTAATTAAAAACGGATACGTGATGCGATAACCGCGAGGCAATGCATCAATACCTGAATAACTCTTCGTACTATATTACAGTTGGGGAAAAATAATACTTATGTTTACATAGCATGTTATCATAAATTTACATTCTAGCCATTTAACTTTTCATTACTGATGCGACTTGCGTTGACGTCTCTAAATTAATTTTGAAATGTGTTTATGAAGAAATTCAATGATAAGCAAATAAGTAAGCGCATATCGAAAGATTTACTCGAAAAAAAAACGTTATTTTTTCTCTTTCTCTCTCATATACAAATGTGACCCAGTTTTCATATTTTTCTTATATAGAAAAAAAAAAAAAAAATTGAGAAAACTCAACAAATTTTCTCCTTTTCGATAGATAGATAATAAGTGCCTTCCAGTTAAGAAAATTGAAAAAAATTCTTCTTTTGCTTTTTTTTTGGAAAAATTTTTTCCAATTTAATTAAATTAGATTATTACCGGCTTCTCTCAAAAAAAAAACAAGCGTTCATCAAATATGATATATGTATAGTATTTATGGTATTTGATTGCATTGCTATCAAAACACACACATGGATGCCTAGTTTATGCAAAATAATTGCTTTTCAACAAATTTTTATCAGATGAAACGGAAAGCTTTGCTTGATCGAAATTTAAGTTTAAATAACAATAAGTTTTCGCAATGAATTCAAGTTTTATAATAATATTTGGAACGGTTTGGCGCATTAACAGCAACAAACGCTAAAGTACGCTGCCGAATCGTTCACAAATCGTAGCATTTGCCATCATTGCTTGCGCAAAGTGAGTGAGTAGTTGCTTTTCCTATCAGAAAATTTTTTAAAAGCAAAACATTATAATAAAAATTTTCTTAAACTGATCCGCAATATTTGCTGCAAAAAACTTTAAAATTCATTTAAAGTTCAAATGGCCCAAATCAATTTTTTAATGCGACTACGTAGAAGAGCAATAGCAATAAAATTATCTAAAAAAAAAAATGCATTTTCCATCGAAATAATACTTTTCACAAGTTTGCTGTAAACCGAGAGAGTGCGTGTTAAAAAGCCATAAAATACAAATTATTGCTACTACAATGGAAAAATGCACTAGACGGTGACAGGAAACTAAATGCATTGCAATTGAAATATAGGTCACAGCTTGCATATACATATACAACTGAGACAAGAATATGTCGGTGAAAGATCTTTCTATCGTAAAGTTTAAGCTTCAAGTATTACGCCCATTACCGGTAAGATTTCATTATATCGGCAAAATACTACTTTTGGGTAAAACGCTTAACCCTTCTGAATTCCTATTCATGCTCCTAATTAATGATTAACCGTCTCATCCGTCTATTTTACGCGTGTTGCGAATCTTCCTCCTTCCCCAATCTTCTTGGCCATTTTTGATAGGGCGAATCGCCCGCTAATATCACTCAACATTAACAATAATGATTACCTATAACTCTTTTCTTTCTTCCTTTTATCTTACGTGCGTATAACTCTTTGGGTATGTTATGCAAACGACTTAGCATATGTTATGCTTCAAATATATTAAATTTTATATAAATTAGTTGTGATAGCAAACGCTACTCCCATATTGCTTAGATTGTATTGCTTGTAAAATGCGCTACATTGCGTTTACATGCATATGCTCTTCCCGTTTCGAAATGTGTTTACGGCTATCGAAAAGCAAACAACTAATGTTAATAATAAAAAAAAGAAGGCCACAATGAATTCGATTTAAACCAAATGTAATTTCTTTTTTACTTACTTAAGTCTCGCATTCAAAAGAATTTCACAGATCTGCTTATCTTATAATAACGAAACTACGCAAAAGAAGTGTGACTAACTATAATGTTCTTACGTGATTTAAGGCACAGTAAAATTGAAAATTTAATTAGAAATGCTAGGAATTTATCAAAGGATTTGTTAGTATGAAATATTCATTTCATCTCGAATGTATCAACGAAAACTAACTTTACGATTCAATTAATTAAATAAACGTAACACCAGCGCAAAGCGAATAAGAGCTGAATAATTGTACATTCTTAACAATGAAAACGTTTTTTGAAAAAGAGAAACTTTTTCAATATATATAATAATTTAGTAAATGTAATCTTTCTAAAAGTATTTCACAACATTACGTAATACCCCAACTGAAATCGTACGAGAATTGCTTAAATTGAAATGCCAAAGTAAAGTTTACGAAGAAGTTTTTTTTTTTCCTTTTTTTTTTTCAAACATTCACTCACAGTATGCCATCTATTCGTCGAATATGATTATGGTCGGAAAGAAGTGAGGATAGCGAAAGATATATAGGGAAGATGGCGCTGCCTTGTCAACGGAATAAGGGCATCGCAGTCTGGGAAGTATATGACCGAACGATAAATGTCATGCCTTTATCGATCGAATACAAGACGCTAATCGTTACCAAAGTATATCGATAGAACTCATTACGAGGTAAATTAATATCTCATAGACTTTCTGACTAAATATCGATGCCCAGATTCAGACACGATAGTTAATCGGTGTGGCTCAGCTGCGCCGATGTGGAGTAGAATTCTCAGCACGCAGAATTGCCAGTAGGGATGTTTGGAGCGCCATAGATGGATTCGTATCAAAGGTGCTCCCTGAACTACGACATTTACAAAGGTAGCGGGTGGAGAGAAGAGGCAGTGAAATCGAATAAGGGCGCTCACTAAGGTCCCACTAGCAGAAATACAAGCAATAAGAGCAAACGGTGATCCCGTGGAGGAGATTGATCGATGGAATATGTGTGGTGCGGTGGGGAGGGGCAGTTTTAATACGTAGGCGCTACAGATGGCCAAACGTGCATGCTGCTGCGACGGACCAGCAGGAGTTCTATCCCCAGATCGCATAGCAAAAGGATAAAAAATAAAACAAAACACACACACACACACTCACACACGAATAAATGTACACGATGGCAGCCATATAGAGTACGTGTCCATCTTCGAGGGGATTAAAGATTGCGCCGCGTTTGCATTGCCTACTTCGTTTTATAAAATCGAATTTTTATCTCTGGCATTACCCGATACTTTTATGTTAATTAAGTTACTCTTCGATTATATTAAAGTGCGATATATTATATACAATATGTACTGAATTGATATGTTTGAAGACTTTTCACGATAGCATTTCCCCTTGTAAGGACAATCTAACAAAAATGGAGATATTCATCGCAAATTTTATACAATTAACCGACTTTTCAAAAATTATATAAAAATTATTATGAAAGACTTTAACTCGGACGCTAAATAATCTTAGCAGAACGCTAAACTTCTTTGTCCGCTCAAGTTGTTGCAACTCATGAAAAGAATTCATAGATAAGTTTACATTCGATTCGCATATAATGATTGACATTCACCACCTAGGGCTCATTAACTTAACTATCTTACCTATATGTATATGTGCAAAGACATATATTCTATTACGTACAATTTTCCATGTTTGCCGTTTTGTAAATAAAAGAAAAAACAAAAAAAAAAAATTAATTAACTTGAAAATACATTTTCCTCCTTTTTATTTCTATCACTGATGCTGATGGGCTCTTTCCTTTTCTTTCGTCGTTTTGTTTTGTTTGTTTTTTTTTTTTTTTTTTTTTTTTCTCAGATTTTTTTTCTTGTTCTTGGTATACTGTTAAATAAATACTTTTAAATGTTTTAGTGTTTTTTTACACCTAAGCTAAATAAATTCTGAGGTGAAGTTAAAATAGAAAAAAAAAATAAAAAATAAAAAAAGAGGAAAAATAGATGTCTCTTAAAGACATTTTAACACGCAACCTTGCTTCTGTCTGTCGTTATTATTTTGCTTTTGTTTTAGCCGCGTCACAACGCGTCGTTGTTGGCCAAAGTAATTAGAGAAAAATTCACAACTAACTAAAAAACACAAAATAGCAATAAAATGAGAGAAAATTATAAAACGCATAAAAAAGGCACTAGAGTTAAGAAGAAGAAGAAGAAGAAGAAGAGAAAAACAAAAAAACTGAAACCTCATTTTATAGCAGGTTTTGTTTATTTAGTTCGTGTTTTGCTAAAAAGTATAAATTCCCACTTCTACCAGTTAGTCCAACAAACAAACGGCTAAAAGAAGTGAAACAACATAGCATTACATTGTTGTTCTTGTTCTTATTGCTATTATTGTTATTGTTGTTGTATATATATATATATTGTCATCAGTAATTTATTAGTAGAACGTCATTACCTAGCTTTATATATGAACCTTTACACGCCCACCACTTGATACATTCTATACGAAGAGGGTCTTTTGCAAATGACAGACCCACTGACCTCGCAAAGATGTAACAGGAGTTCAATTTGACTCAATTCAATTTAAGCAATTGCCTTTTCTTATATTGACTGGCACGTTCAAATAACATCTGTATCCATTACTAAGACTTATTCACATAAAAATTCTACCTCTATGTAGTTGTGTCGTCCATCTTGGATCCTTTAGAAAGTCGGAAAATGAAAATCTGTCATATTATTAAATTTCCTTCAAGAAAATTTCACGATAAAAGTAATTTGCTCGCGACGAAATGATTTTAGATATTTTCGGCATTCATCTAAAATTTACCGCTATAAGGGAATAGACATAATTCTCAAATACTCGTATAATTCACTTAAATGATTTTTATCCTGACTGCAGTCGGAACACTTTTATTTTAAGCTATTGATCATTAATCATTTTAGTGGATTTGCAATCAAAGGAATCTTCTAGGCATTCTTTCAATTTATATATTCCGTTCCGTTCCCTTCCGTTCTCGCAATCACCCGTGACCATATTTTAATAATAATATGTTTTCTCCAACAGTTTAACGACAATGGTAACAATTTAAAGAAAATTAATTTTTTTTTTTCTTTTATTACGATGCATTACGAACAAATATATAGAAAACTCACCATATTTAAGTAGTTTTTTTCTCTTTTTTGTTCATTAAAATCCGTTCGCAATAACTTTAACTCAAGTGTTAAAGTGCATTCAAAATGTTTTTTAAGTAAATAAAATTCAAATATTCGTTAATTGATGTATTTTTCTTCGTTAAGGAACAACATTCACTTTTTGTTCTTTTTATTTATTTTCGAAAACAATTTTTTTTTTTTTTATTTTTTACATTTTTCCTTTTATCACTTTACGTATACTATTCGCAAATATTTATAATGAGAAAAAAAAAGACAAAAATTGTTGTAAATTAAAAATTCTATTAATTTAAGTTGGATGAGAAACTATTAAGCATGTAGGTAGCGAGGTTGATAAAACGCAAGCATCACTCTGACATTTGTAGGGCAACAACTGTTTAAATATGAATTAAATTGTCTTTTTACACTTGCATTAAAATAGTTTATTAATATACCCATCGCCAAAGACGAGGGGTTGTATTCATTTTGTCGAAACGTTTGCGACGCAAGAAGGAAGCTTCCGAGACGCCACAAAATGTATGTATTCCTGATCAGCATCAAATTCTGAATCGATTTAAGCACGTTCATCTGTCCGTCTGTTCGTCTCTCCGTTTGTGTAATGTCGGCATTCTCTTACTCGCAAAAATTAAGCTATCGATTTTAAATTTAACAGAAATATTGGCCGTTCTTGCACGCAGTTTGGTCCATCCCGCTTAAAGTTTACGCCTACATTAATACGTAAACTGAGAAGGCTTCTCACAAGAAATAAAAACGTGACTTTGCACTCACTACTCATAAACTACATCAGATAAATCTACAAAATCTTGGAAAAATCAGCCATGCTAATCCAATTTTATAGTGTAGCAAAATTTGATTTTCTTGTTCCATGCTTTTCATAACGTGCAGAGGCAACCTTCAAAAACACTATAAAATGTACAAATTCCTGACCGGCTTCAAATGCGAAATGCACCTAAGTACGTCCATCTGCTTGTCTGTCCATATGTCCGTCTGAGAAACACTTTTGTTTTCCGTATTTTTGCTTGTTCCTACCCATAAACTAGAACGCATACAATTCTATACTATAGAGTACGAAAATTGAATTCCATTCTGTCTCACTACGATCACGGTAATGAGTATGAGAGATTCGATCACGACCGAATAGAATTGTCTTAATTGTTTTATTTTAATTGTTTGCATACGCGCCGAACTATTTGCTCCGAGATATAGATTCACTTCTTCATATCTTCATGGTAACATTATGAAATGTCGTTTTTTTTTTTTTGTATTTTGTAACAATTAAAAAAAATCTATTTTTTAACACAAATTCCATCAGTTTCCATTCTCATGCTGCTCTTTTAAATCAATAATTTTTAACAATTTCGATATCAAAATGTATTGTTGTTTGTCCGAAACGATCGCATACTTCGAGAGATATTTGCGATAATTCATTCGAACTGTTCTTCTTTAACGCTAAGTATGAAATACGGCAAAGTTAAGATAGTTCCAAATATTTGATTTTTATATCGAAATATTCATCTGTTGTTGCGGGATGCAATAAAATTTGAGATAAGCCTTTTCTTGGAGAGAGTAAAAAGGCGGAAATAACGAAAGCAAACAAAAAAAGAAGAAAAACAAAAGGAAAGGATTTAAAAATTTTTTAAAATAATTTTTCAAAAAAATCAGGAAATGTAATTCGTTAACCTTTGGCTTTCGTTCGAAGACATGTTTTTTTTTAAATAAATGTTTGAACGTTTCAATCAAATATTGGCACGAGTTTATATCTTGCTGATTATTTTAAGAATATTTTGTTTAATTTGCTTCGTACCTCTTAAATAAAACTTTTTTTAATTTTTTTTGCATAACAAAAATTCCTTGGCAATAACATTCCAGTAATAATAATAATAATAAAAGAGCAAAAAAAAATCACGATCTACATGCATATAACTGTATATCTTAGTATTCATTACGCGCGCGTGTGCAAGCATGTATCTTTACAAGTTTTCAATCAAAAATGTGTTGAATTCGTTTGAATTATGTGCGCGTTGAATATTTACATCCATCAATGAATGATGCAAACTTGTTGCTTCGTTGCGTTCGTAACATCCAGAAAATAGCCATTACAGAGCTTCAAATACCTATTTGAATTTTAAGGCAAGATTTTAAGTCAATGTACGCACGTCCGTCCCACTCGTACACTATTATTAAAAATCGTAAAGGGACCGATAGAATTACCAAAAACAAACAACCTAAACACTTTATTAATAATTAATTGATTGGAATTTACTTGCCTACATAATAGCGTAGAGAAAGGATATAACTAAGATACTATCTGCAGTGACGACGAATAACACAAGTTTGACAAAAATTGTTTTATCCGGGTCATTTAAAATATTTGATTAGAAAAATACTTCATTGAAATACACCCACGACTGAAATAAATTTGATCGGTTCACTGAGTGTACGAAAATGGGCTGCTAAACGAACGAATATCACTTTACGACATCTGAACGCTACATTTGAAAGTTTTTTTGAAGTAAAATGAGATGGAAACTTTCAAATGTAAATATATATAAATAAATAAATAAATAAATGAGACAATTAAATGGAAACCTTCAGTGTCGCACACGCACAACCGCACAACCGTAAAAACTTTATAATTTGAATATTTCATAAGCTTTTATAAAACTCAGCTGGCAAGTTAGAGCTTTTGCTTTAAAATTTTTGTCTATCATTCGATTTAGTGTTTTTTTTTTTTTTTTTTTTTGTTTTTTAACTCGTATTAAGTCATTAAATCATTAACCCTTGTCTTAGTTTCTTTTTCTTTTTTTCAACACTTACGAACACCTATACATGTAATTCACGCGCCAAGGAATTGTCTTTTTAAATTATTCTCTTTTTTATTATGCACGCATGCATGCATGCATGCATGCATGCACACATGGATGCAAAAATCAAAAACGAATTTCATGTTATTATAATTTTATTTTACTGGATTTCTTCTTCGCACAAGTTTCCGGCTCTACCACTTTTTCCGCTTGTTCTTCGTCTCTTTTGCTTACATTTTTTACCCCAAACAAATAAAAACCGTTAACAATTACTATACTAACAACAAATGAAAATCAAAAATTAAAAACACGTCTTAACGTTGTCCCGGTTTTCCGTCAATTTCTAGTTTTTGGCTTTTAGTTTTTTATTATTCTAAGCGGAGAATACAGAAATTTCCATGAAAATACGTAACGTATTTAACGTTCCTACCGGCAAATCCTTGCCTTATTTTATATTATATAAAAGAAATGATAGTAAAACACTTTAGGCTGAAATATTTATTTGTTTATATAATATTAGTAATACTATATATAGGAATTTTGCATTTTTATTTTGTGTTTTCTTCTCACTATTAGATTTTATTTGCATATATTATGTCGCGTCGCGCAAGCTCTCGCGATAAGAAATTCACATATCCTTATTGTTGAAAGGGATTTTTTTTTTTTAATTTATTTACTTATTTCATATACATTTGTCGGCTATTGTTTTATCTTGCGTTTTGTTTATATTAAAATCTCAGGCGATAAGAAATTTATGCAACTCTCTCATTCGAAAGCTAATTACTAAATATATTTTAATGAATTAATCATATGCAAAAGCATTTATTATGTGTTAATACTTTCTTTCCTATTATTATGCATATTATTTCGCGGTAGGAAATTCACATATCCTTCTCGTTCGAAATTCAAAAATCCGAACCGAACGAAGAAGGCTATAAACAAAACTAAGCTAAGCTAAGCTAAGCTACTAAGCTAGTAATGGCCTTCCGTTGTATTGCTGCAATGGTTAAGTTTACTTCGTTTATTTCATTTCTTAATGAAAGCCTTAATATATTATATAAACTGGATGAGAATGCTTAGCTTGACTCAACCATCCAATATTTACATATATTATTTCGACAATAAGCACAGTAAACAAACCCTACGCAAAATCCTTTTTCGCTGCGAAAGTCAAAATCAACTTTTTAATATTTTGTTATTGAAAAAGTCTTCGCACCAAATTGTTTAGTTTCTTTCTCTTTTCATTGGTTTCAATTTGTTTTTTTTTTTTTTTTTTAATTTTATTTATTTATTTTGTAATTATTTTTTTTTTTTGTTTTTTCTTCAAATAATTTCCCTTTTTCCAATCTTGCACACTATTATTATTTTAGTCGTGGAGAGAGGGTCTTATTCGGTTTGCATTATTATTATTTAACTTGTTTTCTCACTTTCTTCAGGTTAATCATCCGTTCTTATTCTTATGTTCTCCAAAAATATTACGATTTCGTAAAAAAGCCTTGAAGAAATTGAACAATTTTTTATTGCATACACTTTTTCTATATACTTTTTTTTTAATATCATTATTCATTTAGATATTCTTATCATAAGCTCCAAACGCTCCAAACGAACGACTTTTGAAGACTGAGCAAACTAAGCAAATGAAACAATGAACAAATGAACATAATACGACTGAATCGATTGAGATTGCTGAGAGACGGTAGCAGCACGAACACGAACATGTTACCATCATTAGTTACATACATATGAGGGTATATTCATTTTTTCAAACTGTTTGCACTACACTCAGAAAGAAGCTTTCATAGATCCCATTAAGTATATATATATTCTTGAATTAGCATCCATCATCAGCATCAATCTAGTTTCTATGCTTACACGCATTTAGAAGAATGTAATAATTGTCTATAATTAAATGTTGTATTCTACTTCAAGTACTCTGCACTCTGACGAATGGCTAATTTCCAGATATATTTATTTAAAAGAATTCTTCTTTTTTTTTTTTATTTATTACTAATATCATCATCAAAAACAAAATTCTATATAAAATATATAATATATATTCGGTATATTCGGTCCATTCGGCAAATGAAAAAAAAAAAACTAATATCAAAAAAGTCGTATTTATTGTAATTTAATTTTGAGAAAGTAAGCGTTTTTTCAAACCAGAAGCTCTCAGCTATAAAAGGTTGTAAGCGTTATTAAATGACGAAATATCGGAGAGATATGCCTTGCAACAATCAGCTCATGGAAACCATCCCATACCATCATCTACCATAGCTATTTTGAATAATTTTATAGCTTCAGTGGGAGGGGATATGAAGAGTTTGTTCATCATCATGAAATCTATGAAACTTTAAGGCCGAGAATATTTTTTTAAATACTCTATATAACATATACTATATATATATATATATATATATTCTATGTAACATATATGTATTTATGTACGTGCTGTATGTGTTTTATTTTGTTATTTGAAATTCTTAGAGTTTGTTTTGCTTATGCCTTCGAATGCCTTTTTTAACTTTTCTGAAAGTAAAGTTTACTTTGCTGGGCGTTCTTATGGGCAGCCTTTTTGACTTTCCTGAGAACAAAATTCGCTTTGCTGTGTGTTCTTAGGGGACTAAAAATATCCTTTCTAAGAGTAAAAGTGTTATCATGCATGCCTATGCCTATATGATGTAAAAGTCTTTTTGATATTATTTATATTGCTATTATTTTGCTGTATTGTACTAAAACAACAAGTAAAAAATTAAAATCCAAAATGCATAGATTTATATTGATATAAACACCAATATTGGTCATTCTTTCTCTATTTGTTTTTCTCTTTTTGACAACAAAAACAAAATGCCAGGGCACTCAAAGAACTTTTTCTCAGAGAAAGCAAAACTTTACAATACCAATTGCTGTCAAGTAATCAAAGAAATTTCTGAGAGTAAGGCAGAATTTTGTACCAACAACCGATGTCAGCAATAACAACCATAGCAAAAAGATTGGTTATAAAGAAAGACATTTGCGCTCTCAGCTCTGAGTAACCAACATTGGTATTAAATCTGCACATAAACGTTTAAAGGGCTAAAGCACATAGGCATTAACACGCCAACACTGCTACGAACTAACGAACTCATGCTCCCTACCAAACTATCAAACTACCAAAATAAAGTCTCAAAACACAGGGTGCTGCGGTTATTGAACAACGTAATACGTCAAAAAAAGAAAAAAACCAAAAAAAAATAGAAAAAAGTCAACAACTCTCGATACTTATAAGAATGAGAGAGTGCTGCGGCTAAACATAAAGCGAAAGGAAAAAACATAGAAACTCATACCAGTTTCAATCCAACTCTGACTATGGATGCAAAACCCCCAAAAGACACACTTAAGCGCACTTAAGCACTTACAAATATTCAAGAACAACGAACATACAACTGCATGTGCTCTGAATACTTATTAACTAAATACTCAGTTATACTCAAAGCAGTCCAATGGGCACATCTAGAGAAACAATCTATGGAATCTTGGAAAATATATTTTGATTATAATAAACGAAATTTATTATTCATCGGAATCAATCATAATTTCCCTTATGCCTTCATCTATTATTTTCTCAATATCCCGCTGCTCTGCGATACGGTACTTTAAATTAATTTCCCGCTGTTCAAGTTCCTTTATTCTTTTTTCATTTTCCTTGATAACATGTTGTTGCTCAGCAATTTTCTTCTTTTCTTCTAGCCGTTTGCTTCCGAGTTCATTTTTTTGGCGCTATACTCTGCTTGGAGTAGTTCGACGGCTTCTTTCAATTCTTTGATATCCTTATCGGAGAGTTTATTCTTACTTTCTGCAAATGGAGCTTCTCTTTGCAGATTTTTCAGTTGTTTGTTACTGTTCTCTAATTGGGTTAATAAATCTTTTGGGAATACCCTGCTTAACTCGTCGAGTTCAGCACTTTGTTCTTGCAGCTTTTTAATGTCTTCATTACGTTTACTTAGCACAGATTCCATGTGACCTTGCTCTTTCGTTAGAGTTGCCAATTTATTCTCCAACTGCGGAATTTGCCTAAAACATTAATTGTTAAAATTTTTGCAATTTTATCATAATTCCTTCGCTTACTTTCCTAATTCCTGAAATTCATCATTAGATACCACTTTATTGAGAAGACGGTTTTTATCTTCTTGCAGCTGCTTTTGTTTTTCTGTGAGCTCTTCAATTTCACGTTCAAGTTTACCAATATCCCCTTTTTTTGCCCCAATTTTTTCCACATAAGTTTTTAATTCTTCCCGACTAGTTGATAATCCTTCATTCAACATCTGAATAGATTGCTTAAGCTCTGCGTTTTTGTCTTTTTGTCTTCTTTCATTTTCACATCTTGTTTTCTCGACTCGAGCTTTTAGGTCCTGCAGTTCATTTAACGGCTTCCCTACCATTTTGAAAACTTCCTCTTTGTACATGTTGTAATAAAACAAATAATTCAGGAGAATGCGTAGCATCTGGGAGGTTTTCTTAGGCGCTTTAAGGAAATGAAAATCTATATAACTTTGCAGGCATTCGATGTATTTCACTTACTCGGGCGTATTAAATCGTAGTACGTAAAAACATAGGACTCGTTGGTTATTTTAAGCATGTGATCAATTTGTTTAACTAATTTGATCCGAAACAGATGATATTCATTATTCTCCATTGTACTTGGAGGTTCTATTTTATAACCAAAACGTTTTAAGTAAACAACCAACACGCTTGTTAGGAATCCTTCTGTGGGTTTGCTTAAATCACTTGAACGTAATTGACATTCGGTAAATACAGCGTTCCAACTATCCATATTCTCCTTCTTAAACATTTTTCTGTTTGTTATTTAATATTTATTCAAAAATTTTTAGAACTATAATCAAAAAACCAAACCAAATGTTTATTTTGTTTTTTCTCCAGTGTTGATATACGAACTTAATTTTAAGAAGGTGTTGTTTAGTCTTTTAAAGTTCACAGTCAATAAAATCGACACTAGATCATCTCTAAGTAAAACCCGTGTAATAAACGTGATTATCAGATTTTTGACATAAAATTTTGAATACAATTCGTAAAAAATTTAAAATAAATTTCAAATTTGTGCTTAAGAGAGTAACAAACAGGCTTGCAACCAAAAAAGTATAGCTTGCGACGGCAAAGGAATAGCTTGCGACCGCAAAAGTATAGCTTGCAACCAAAAAAGTATAGCTTGCAACCAAAAAAGTATAGCTTGCAACCAAAAGTATAGCCTGCAACCAAAAGTATAGCTTGCGACCCCAAAAGTATAGCTTGCAACCAAAAAAGTATAGCTTGCGACCAAAATAATAAATGTTTAATGAGAGAAAGAAACACACAGAGAAGAGATAGACAAGGAAAGTGAACGGGAGAGAATTAAATATTCTAAACAAAACATACAAAGCACAGAACACAAACAGCAACGCATACACAAACAATCAAATAAAGACAATTGCACAAAAATCCAATTGCAGTGACGCCATTTTCCAGAAAAAAATAAAAAAAACGTCACGCACTGAATAAACAAAAAAGGAATTATAAGTTAAAAAAACTTTTAAGCAAACGAAGAGACCAATATTTTGTTAGCTAAGCAGCAGAAGAAGCAACAAAAATTCTTAAGCAAAGCTGAAAATAGAAACGCAGTGTACAAATGTTTAGAAACTTTAATTGCAAATCATCATAAATATATCTATAGCGACATATAGAGTTTTAGCAGGCAACAGAATACGTCCATTTGTTTGTTAATCTAGGTACCTGTCTTCATATGCTGTGAGTAGCCGGTGACTCCAGCCTATGCCTTTGCGAAATGTGCAAAGTTCCCTACTGTGGATTGTTTAAAATTAGCAACAACTATTAGCGACCTATTCCCGTTTTTTTTTTTTTTTTTTTTGACTTTTATATGGAGTTTGCAAGTTTGTATGTGTTTTATACATTTTATACATTTCATATACATTTTATACCTTTTATAATACCGTTTAAATAGAACGAGATGGATACGGTTGCCTGAATCGCAAGATGAAGATTTGACTGAAACCGGCCTGGAGGAAATGTTAAATTCACCGCCCATTGCAGAACGAGGCTTCAACTAGCACTGAAAACGTGACATTTAATTTGAAAAGTCTTAGCAAAGGTTTAGGAATGGCAAATGAGTTTCGCGATTTCTTTATGAACATTGATCAGTCTATGGAATGAAGTCTTATTTTTAAGAGGCAAATTTGCTAATGCGACTGCTATGTATCAGTTTGAATTGAAGGAGCTTCTAAAAACTGCCAAGCAGGAGAAACTTACAAAATTCTTCAAACCATTAAGATCACAGCCTTAAGATAATTAATTAAAAATGTTCAAAATGTTCAATTAAAATGAATTTTTATATATATTTGTCATCTAGGAATGTATCCCCTACAATCCCATATAAATTACCATTATCATTAGGTTACTGTATTCGCGGCATTTTTGTGGAATGTATACACCGCGAATAAGTAGCTTTTACTATATTTCCTTATTCTTCGGTGATGATGTATGTTCCATGTATTTTTGTACATTTTATCAAAAGTTTATATTTTCTTATATGAATCTTGTCTTATCAACAGTTTGTGCGGGAGGAGCGTGATCATCTGATAATCAGTAAAAATAAGACATGTGGGAACAAGCCAGATTGACTGATTGGTGTCTACGGGTAGACATTTGTACGGACGGACATGTTACCTATATAATGTTTATGGCGCATTCATAACGATTTCGAATTTAAGAATTTTTTGTCCTTTTTTTCTCTGTTTTAATACTATAAATATTTATTTAAAAAATAACGGCATAATATATAAATTTTTACAATTTAATAATAAAAGCTCTTACAAGAAAAATTAGGAAAATCAATTTCTTAATTGCCAAAGAACAATGTTTATTTAAAAACTAAATTAATAGTCACCGTAACCGTCATTTGTTATTAATTCATAAATACTTAACAGGGAGAAAAAAAAATACTGTGCACATTTCGATATACATTTGATTGTAAAAAAAGTAATGCTTTATAACGAAAAAAAGAAGTTACTTCATAAATTAGGCAAAATGGCAAAGCTAAAACCAATTCATATGTTTACGGTACAAATTCAAATTCCTATGATTAGAACACAGTGTTACAATTACAATAGCCGATGCAAACGTTACTTTTGTGCTCAACAGTCTTTCAAAAAAGCTCTTTTTTGTAATTAAACTAAAAGTCAATCACTAGAAAGATATTTTCAGATATATACGCAAGCACATGTAATGCTCTAAATATACCTCAAACTTGACTATTATATTATTAAGTCTATCGTATCATATGTAATACGGCTTAAAAGCGCCGATATCACTTTTATACACATCATAGCAAATAGTATGCCCGAACAAGATTTACCTTTCACTTTGTCAAATCTATGTAATACTTATGGGAGATTATAGATATTATTTGTATTCTTAGCTACCGTAAATCTCGCTGGTCAATTTACTTCCGTCTTTCTGCTAGCCACATCCAGTTGAAAAAATTTAAATACACTCTTAGTTAATTACAATCAATCAGTTCTAAGAACCAAAGTAAGGCATTCACAAGGATTTAAAATTAACCCATCAAGCTTTCCTCAAAAACTTGATATGGTCTCTGCACAAATACGTCTACCACAAAAAAAATAAATAAATAAATAAATAAAACTGAAAGTGAAAGTGAAATCTGGCAAATACATATACATTTAAGCAGTCAAAAAGCCAATATAAAAATGATCTCGAAAGAGATGCACATCGAAACAAAACATTTTGCAATTCTCATGCTTTGATTTGAGGGATGATGGATGAATATCAAAAGTTCTCCTTCAGGCAAGTATAAATTTTTTACTCTTTTCTTTACAAGTTGATCGCACTCTATTGAGTTAGCGAAGGAAACTCGAGAGCCATCTATCACTCGAGGTCTTTGAAACTGCTCTTTTTGCCAATTGCACCTTCGAAAGCTCTACATGTCTTGCAATGAAAAAGTTATTTGGACGTAGAGTTTGAATTAAGTTTTATGTTTTAGAGCGAATATCATGCCGCCAAGTCGCTTACAAACAGACAAAAGATATATGCACTAGGGGCGAAACAGTCAGATAAATTTCAGAAATTTGTCCAATGAGTAAAATCCATTTTAAAAAGGCGCTGAGAATGAGCTAAGGGCACGACAAAAGAGTCCTTTGAAGCTAGCAAGAGGTCCAGGAAGAATGCATTTGTTTTAATGGCGATAAAAGAAAATTTTGAAGAATATTTTGTTTTTTCTATAATAAATCTGCAAAATTTGTACGTATATGGGTATATATATGTTAACTTTGAAGGTAGAGCGATCGGGCAATCGTTCAATATTTTATTTTTCAAATCATATTTAAAAAAATGCAATATTTTTCAATTTGGCAGCATCGCTTGTTTCCCGAGCTCAATATGACGCATCAAACTCATGATAAAATACAGATCATATTTAAAGCTCTTAATGAGATTTCCTAGCTAAGCTTTAAACTTAACCTGACGAGAGAGTGATAAGAAGTAATCTGAGAACAAGTTTAAAGCTGGAATCGTGATTTTAACAAAACGACAGACATATGAAGGCAATTAAGTCGAAGAAACTCTTCACGTTGAGCAAAGGTATGGATGCCTTATGAACACTATGTCTAGAAGACTATCAAACATATCTCTCTTGAAATCTAATTCGGTTTATTATAACCCATTATTTATGTACAATAATAATAAAATAATGGAATAAATATGAAAACGCAGTTATGAGAAATCATATAACATTTGCAGTAAGAAGGAAGCTATCGGATCATATCGAAGAGAATGCGTTCTGTTTGATGAGAGCAACAATATTATTAAGTGGACTGCAGTAAAGTAATTAAATCAATGACGAAGGCGACGAAGGAGTCGGTCGGCCGAATCTCCAAATTCTAAGAGAAAGATAGAGATAGGAATTAAATATAAAACAAGGAATAACATGTGTGTGTATACTAGAAAGCAAAATAAAAGTTAAAAAGAAAGAAAATCCAATAATAAAATAAAGTAAACAACTACTGCCACAAATTAAAAGTTAAAATTGCCTGAGTAAAACAGCAATTTCAAGAAAAAGCAAGCAAGGAAATTATGTTCGGCCGTGACCGAACCTTTTACGCCCATCACTACAATGCTAAAAACAAGGAAAACGAAAGAACTAAATTTTCATACTATACAATATTGGATAGGGAGAGTGAAGATTTATATGGTGGTATGCGTTGTACATGTAATGTGTAACAAACAAAAAATACGAAAAGCAAACGTATTCACAATTTTTCCAACATACACATGTGGACTTTCTAGGCGTGCCCTTTGAAAGAATTGGGCCATTTTCGAATTCCTTGGCAAGTTTGTAAGCGATCTCCTCATTTTTTTTTCCTCAGATATTACACAGCTAGCCAAATGGACGTATGGGCGGGCGAACAGATGAACATGCTTAGGTGAATTCCGCGTTGGAAACAAATATTTTCATATATTATTCACATATCGGATTTTAGAAGCTTGTTTCAGCGCGTTATAAATGTATTAAAATTTCGATACACAGTAGTGTTGGGTAGGCGACATCAACTTTATCCATTTTTGTAGAGATACTTTCGCATTGCCCATAGAATACACGATCAAATTTTCGTAGATTCATCTGCTGTAGTTTATGAGTAATGAGCAAACAACCTATGTTTTATTCCTTATGAAAAATACAGGTGTCCCCTTTTTACGTACGGCTGTGGTCGTGTCCTTCGCACAATTTAGCCATTTTTGATATGTACCTGCGTGCAAGAACTTTCAACGTTTCTGCCAAATTTGAAGGCGATAGATTTTATTTTGCGGCCAGGGGAATCTTTACAACAGATATTACACACGGACCTGTTTAACTCGATTCACAATTTGATGCTGGCCAAGAATATACTTTGTGAGGCCTCTGAAATTTGCTGTTCGGCGTTGCAAACGTTTTCACTAAATGAATATACACCTCATCCTTCGGCGATGGGTATCGAAAACAAAACAAACCACTTATTAGCGAATTAAAGAGACAGATAGATAGTGACGGAGAGAGAGAGAGAGAGGAATTACACCGCACGTGACGTAGTATTTAGATATGACTAGCAAACAAATTAGATATTTGCAACAATTAAATACATTTGATCTTAATTTTGCAACAACAATATATATATATATGGTTTACTTTTGAAATGTAAGCAAAGCCAATTTTTAAACAACGCCCTTACATGGCGTACTTTACTGTTTTATGGGCATAGAAAAGTAATATAAAATTACATGCACTCAAAAACGTATATTTAGTTTAATCTAACATTATTCCTTACAAGCGAATTTTATAAAAAGTCCTCATATAATCTTTAAGTGTCAATTTCGTTTTGCCTTTCTTATTTGCACTCAGTAAGCTTTGTTTTTTGATATTAGAACGAGATAAGCCTAAGTAATTGCTCTTCATCAATAATAATTTTGTTTTGCATTTTTAGCAACACAAGGTATGTTTTTTTTTTATTGATATTTGTATTTTCAAATTTGGTTTAGCTTTTGCAAGGGTTTTGTTAATTTCTCAACGTCACCCTCCGGCGGCATTGGGATCATTGAAATATGGTATTTGTATACGTATATGTTCTTGATGCCCGTGAGCCCGCAAGCTGTTTGTAGTCCATCCGCTAACACTACTAGACACTGTTATGTCCTCTTCCTTGAGCATACATCCAGTTTGTATTTCCCGACTTGTTATAGTTGAGCGCTTAGTTGTGGATTATATGTGACGCTAATATTTATGTACGTACATACAAAATTGTATCCCAATTTTATGAAAGATACAAAACCGACAAAACCTTATTCGAACATCGCGGAAAAACAGATAAAAAGCTATTCCAATCTTTAAAAAACATGTATAAGAATATACATTGTACATTATTCTCTGCTAATAGCACCGAACCTTATTATTTTTATTTGATAGTTTTTACTCTAAAAATGTACATTTCCTTAAAAGTATCCG